ACATTGTCATATTTGGTCACTCAAAACCAGTATCAAATTCTAGTTTTTTGGATTGGTAGATACTAAATTCATAATGTGTGAGACAATAGAAATGCAGTCATTTGCCTTTATACACTTTGTGATCATTTAGTCAGTCAAAATCAGTTTGGTAATTAAGAGTTTCCCCATTCGTATTTTTGTTTGCGTGTTTCTTGTTTTTTTTTGTTTTCGTGTATGTTAGGTTAGGAATCAGTGATGCTGCGCTATGGAACTTGACGGTGAAGGCTTATCTGGATATGGTTTTTTAAAGAAGATGCTGTCGAGACCTGTCTTCTCAATTTTACAAGAGAACAAGGTAAAAACAACAACAACGATAATAGCAGTGATAGTTACATTTTATTGACACTGGATTTGATTTCTTTCATTTCTCCGATGTAGACGGACGTTCAGGTGAACCAGGGGGATTACACCAACCTAGTAGTGTAGCTCCCCCCTACTGAGAAATCAATGGTATGTATCCATCCATCCGTCAACAAAAAAAAGTAAAAAAATTATTGAATCATATTCCTCCTACAAAATTGAATGATCAGAAGTATTGTTCTTCGGTTGAATCACAGCACACGAAAGAGAGAGAAAGAGTTGCTCCACGACAGAACCGACCTGCAATGGAGGTAAAACTTAACTTTGACAATCTCCTGTTTTTGAAATACTTGATTTTTTAGGTTGTAGTTTAGAATCTAAATATTATTTCTTCTGTTTGTGTGTGTGTGTGTCCATAGGCTCATTTGTGCAGAAGAAGAGCTTCAGAAGTAGAAAACCGAACATGCACAAGTAAGTTGCATCATCATGTCTGCAATCTTTTCAGCTCAACTATATGATTTTATAACCACTAAAGTTCAAACTTGCCTGTTCAACAGGTTTGATTTCAAAGCAGAGGTTCTAGATAGATTATTTTTAACAGAACCTATCTCGAGCTTGGTCGATTTGTTCCACTTCTGATGTAGCTTTTGCACTCTTTTATTTATTTTTTACAGGAAACTGCTTCTGATGTTACGACTCTCCAGTTTGGAATTTTTCTTTTGTGTATACACTCCAAAATCATATGACGTGTAATGAAACTTAAAATAATAAGTAGACCGTTTTTATAAGAAGGACAAGGAAGAACTACATATGTATACAAACCCCTTCTTTTTTTTGGGTTCGTAGCTAGTAGTCGCTTCATAAACACACTACTGTATAGAAAGGAAACATCATCACAGATTCACAAGGCTTTTTTTTTTTGTTAATTTACTACGTAAAAGAAAAGACACACAACTGTGTTTTACTTTATAAGTCAACACAGTTAGATAGCCAACAGCAAGCTAGGTAACGAACGACGAGCTAGATCCCTGGGTACGCTCTCCCAAACAGTGCAAGGCCCCATATCCCATCCTATTGCCCCGCCACTGTAATCCGTAACAGTGATCAATGTGTTGAAGTACTCCCTTAGCTCAGTCACCACTCCGTCTTTCATCTTCCAAACGTGGACCCAGTACACCTGTGAACCCTCCCATCCTTCTGCGATGACGACGCAGCCATGACCAGGCACCACTGCTTGTACACTGCTTGGCTCGAACCTGAACGAAACCTGGCTCGGTGGTTCCCCTGTTAGTAGTCTCATCATGTGTTGACAGTGGTGCGGTCCATGGAACCACCATTCCACATCACTGGCCACCAATTTTGCCACCGTCGCTGCGTCGCCTTTCTCCAAAGCTCTGTAGAGTAACTCTATAGTTCCCCGGTTTTTCATTTCAGTGCTTGTCCAAGTCTCTACGTTCATTTGTGTTTATCTTTCTCTCTTGGAGCTTAAAACAACGGATATATATATATATATATATATATAGGGGTTTTAAAGAGAAATATGTTTTGTTTTGTGTATGTAGTAGTAGTAGGTTTCTGTCTCTTTTATAGTCAAACATAAGACCTCGGTACAAGGGGTCATTTGCTGCTCTTCTTTTTCCAATCGTCGCCTTAATTTATCTATGGCCAATTGTATATATTTTTTCGGTGATAGTTGCAATAACATAGGTCGTTTTTCTGACTACTCCCCTAAATTTACACCAGATGCAGGTTTAGTTCTGACCTTATGATCGCTTCTTTAACATTTATTTCGGACAAAAAATTTACATTATTAATAATATTTTCTTTTTAGTAAAAACATGTGAAGTAGATTAGTAATAAAATATTAATGATTGAATGGAGGAAATGTGTAGTCCACGTATCATAAATTGAGCAATAAAGAGGCCAAGTTGGATCCAACTAAACCCCTCGTGCAGACTGTCGGGATTTGGACATTCTCTTTAGAACCTACAATAATTAACTTTGTACTATTCTGATCTGATTCTGACCCCAAATATGTATTGACTTTTCATGTTTCTATATGTTTCTATGCCCCATCAGTTTCTCGAATTACTTATCTGAAGCCAAGCCACGAGTTTTGGTTACAATCTTCCAAAACCAGCTCGGTTGTGGTAAACCAGTTTGCCTTTTTTGGCTTAGAAAACGGCTTTGATGTCTATCTAGATACTGCTACGGGTGTCACTTTGACCACTCAAGCCTGTACATTATGATAGTCAAAATAAGATCTAAAATTCCTAAATTATGAACAAACGACATGTTAATTGAAAAGAAAATCTCAAGAAAGCAATTTAATGCAAAAACAGAACATTTTGTTTGTCTAACAAGTAGTTTGGAACCCGATAGATTGAACCAATTCACCAAAAGGTCTGTTCGGCTGTAGATGTTGACACTGTTAGTTGTTGAAATTAGTAGAAAAGTTTAGTTGATATACAGTGAATTCTATTATTGCTAGGAAAGTTACTTACACTTCGAAGTATTTGCGTCTGCATGTGAAACTTTTTAATTAATAGAACATTTTTCGTAAAACAATTCTGTAGAAGAAATCTGCCGGTATATTTTTTTTTTTATGGCTGCGAGAGGGTTTTGTTTTACAGTTTAAGAACGAAAAGCAGTTTATCAAATAGTAATAGTGAAATAAAGTATCACCTATAATTTTTCATTTTTGGTATTACCTAGAATTTATAATACATATAATCATCAATGCACTTCGCTCGATAGCCACTTGACTGGATCTCTTGTTTATTTGATAAACCAAATGAGATTCAGTTTACGTGTTTAAAAACTAATGAGGAAGGGAAGAAGTAGGAATGTGTGGACCACAGGAACATTGCATGTAGCAAAGTTATGAAGCGTCAAATAAGTTGATACAAGACACATATCTATTTAATTATCGAATTCCAACTTCTTCTGGTTAGCTGTACCTTGTCGAATTTGGCAGGTTTGATTGGGTCATGGACTGCCTCTGCGGTCGACATCCTCATGCATCGTCCTTTCTCTATCTTGTACCAATAATCTCATGTTTTTTTCTTGACGAAAGGCTACCAATAATCTCATGTTACAAAATTGTAGTAAATAATACAAGTATTACAATTAACATATTTACTAATCACATACGAATAGAAATCCTAAAATAATGAATTAAAAATCTGGATTTTTAAGCTATATATTTTTTTTACTATTTGAAAAATCTAAAACTTAACTAGCCTTGATCGCTTGTTTATTCTCCCTTTATTCTATTTTCCAACACTATTAAAGTGGATCAAATAATGGGCTACATCAGTTTGGGTTTTTCTTACTGGACTTAAACTAATCAAGGCAAACAATTTTAAATTATATAAAGGCCCAAACAATTTATATTCTGTTTTGTACATTAAATATTTGCCTCAATATGTTTTTGTTCTTTTTTATTTTTTTTACAAAATATTGATTAGCATTTGTTCACAACATGTATTACTAATAAGTCTAATATAAGCAACTTTTAAAGAAAATATTGGATATCAGTATATCAGATGATCGATTATTTGTAACTATTACTAGTGCAGGTAAATAGGAGTTGCAAAAGTCTGGTAAAATTATCTGATAACACAGTTTGAACTGATTGGATTTGGATCACCTATGCGTTCTGGTAGTGTGAGATCAGTTTGGAGGAGATTCTAGACCACGTCTTATATATCTCACCCTGGAATCAAGATGTGTGTAGAAGATTGGGATGAAGAACCCCATTGGGATCTCTAAGAAAGCTTACAGGCTGATGTGGTGAAAGCGAGGGCCACACTATACCTTTCGAGGATAACACATAAAATTTTGTCTTCTCTGATGGTGGACGCCTCGAGAACTCGTGGAGCAGTTGGAGTTTGCGGACAAGGGTGTTGTTCGTTTGTCTATCTGCCATCGTCCATTCAAATGATCCATCTGGATGTTATTCAGACTATTCGTATCTTCATCCATATAGTTCAATCTACTTGAATCATCTAGATGAACTTTTGTTCATCTCTTATTTTCATCTATATGTATTTAGTAAATACCCTTATTTGATTTAATTATATTTTATTCTTTTTATTAATTTATGAAAATATATTAATATATATTAATTATTCATAATATAATTATTTTAAACTATAGTTTTGGTGAGAAATATAATTTTCAGATTATAGAGAAAAACATAGTTTTGTGGTTTTGGTAGGTAAATGAACTTTGCAGTTTTGGCGAGAAAATGTGAATTTATGGGTTTGATGGAAAACGAAGTTTTGTGCTTTTGGCAGGAAATTTTTTTTTTTACTGTTTTGGTGGAAAATGAATTTTCAGGGGTTTGGTGAAAAAAATGTTTTACGGTTCTAGCAAGAAAATACATTTTTGCGTTTTTGGCGAGAAATTACGTTTTTCAGTTTTCGTAAGAAAATATGTCTTTTCGGTTTTAGCAGGAAAAAAATGTTTTAAAAACACTTCTATATTTGTATATGTATATCTGAAAATGTTCCTATTTTTTCTAATTTTTTTGGGTTGTAAAGTTTTTTTATTTTATTTATTTCACAAATAAAAAAGGATATAATAGGCAAAAAGATATAAAATTGAGATTAGTCTAAAGTGACAATGTTCTTATTTTTATGTCCTAGAAAACAATTTTCCCTATTTTATTTAGTTCTGACTCTTGTTTTATTATATGGTAGTCTTTGGTGAAATCTGTTTATTTGTTTTTTTTGTTTTTTTTTTGCTAACTTTCCAAATATAATCAGTTATTAACTATTTCTGTCGATGGTCTTCTTCCAATTTTTAATAAGCACGACCGTGATTGAATTGCATTGGTAGAAACCTGGTTTTGTTTTTAGGTCGTTTGGTTTGAAAACAATGGACGTATTCAATCTCACATGACGACGTCACGTGTATTCTAGAACTCGATAGTGCACAAATGGCAAACTGCAATCGGCCAACATTTACAAAGTCAAACTGATAAGGATTTATGCGACCAATCGTATAAATGTTGAAATATAATGCTTTTTTTTTGAATAAATTGTTATCTAATTAACTACTTGCAATAGTTGACAAAAACAAAATTAACTACTTGCAATACACTCGGTGAGCCGCCATCAGTGTATTTGAGGTAAAAAAATGAAATGGGAACAAAGCATATATACCTTTTTATTTATTTCAACCTTTATAAGGTAATCATCCGATACTAATCATTGGTGGAAATTAATTTACTGCAGTCCTATGAGTTAGGAACTCAGCTTAAATCAATATTTTATTTTCATCTATCTAAGCCAAATCATGCAATCAAAGTCATTTTCTTTTGAGTTTTTTTTCAAAATATAATAAAATATCTGCAGATTCAAACCATATTTGGAATATGTCAAAGTCAGCCCATGTAGTTGCGTTGGACCTTTAAGAGAAAAAACATACAAGTTTCCAGCATAAAAGAAATTATCAACATCCTAAATTTATGGAGTATTATTTTATCCTTTCTCCAGGATTTATGGGAGGACACCAAATTATATACGTTTGTGGTGTGAATTAGAAATATTTTTGAATTAGAGTTTTCCTCACTATTTTCTATCCTTGAGTTTATTATCCTTAATAATTTTATGATTAAATGGTACTTGTTGACTGATTTTAGAAAAATACTATATAGTCATGTTCCAAGATATCATTATTTATATAAATTATTATTAATTATCCTTCAATTAGCAAAATGTCAATGATTTTCAAATATATTAATGTTTATCTATATATATATGAAATCTTAGCTAATTACTTTCGTATTTAAAAATAATTAGTTTAATGAAATCAAACTCTAGTTTCCTGTTAGAAACGTGATTTTCGAGTACAAGTTTATGGCGAGGTTTCAAAATAAACATAAATATAACAACAACAAAAATTAATTGTTTATATGCAAAGAAATGATAGAAGTTATAGCCACAACTTAAAAATATGAAAAGTTGATTTATTGAAAATAAATAAATAAAGATATTTTGAAATTTGATTGTAAAAATACTAAACTGACTACCAACCAAACCAAAACAAGAAAATCGGGATTCTATATAGTATTGTCAAAAGACACGTTAATGTGAACCAGTTAAAGATGGGAGAAATTTCTTTGTTTAAAACTTGCAAAAAGTCCTTTGTAGGTCTCATCATTATAAGAACAATTGAACACACATATATCTCTTTGTTATCTTCTAAACACCTTTTGTCTACTAATTAAAAAGATATTCAATGGAAGCCATGGTCTCGCTCTTGTTCATGTTTTCCTTGTTGGCTTTAACTGTCCATGTTCGAGCTCAGAGAACACCAACAGAGTTTAGTTTCCGAGGGTTTACTGGGAACGAATCAGAGATTCAAGTTTCAGGAGCTGCTAGGATCAAACCCGACGGACTGCTGAGGCTGACTGACCGAAATCCATTCGTAACCGGAACAGCCTTCTAC